GTCTTGCCTACCCAGCGCCAGGCTGTTCCTCTGGGCTGGCCCCTGTGCCGTGAACTTGATACAGCTCTGTGAAGGTGGACCCACCACTATCCCCCATTTCCCTTGGGGTGATTTTACAAAGGGCACCCACCAGGGCTCCTGCACACCTTCCTAGGACTAAATCACTCACGTACCCCCAGAGAGGCAGCCACCCTCATGGCCATGGGAACAGGATTCAGCGGATACGCAGATGCACTGGAAAAAGCCCTTGAAGACAGGCCACGTTGGGATCAGACAGGGTGAGTGGGTTTCCCTTGCTCTGCTGGCCTCTTGCCCAATTAAGAAAATTGTGTTTCACTTGTGTAATTTAAAAAGATCAAAACAGGGGCCCCTGGGAGGCTCCGTCAGTTAAGCGATGGCCTCTCGATTTCTGCTCAGGTCGTGATCTCAGGCATGATCATGAGATCGAGCCCCACGTCGGGCTCTGCGCTCAGTGGGGGAATCGGCTTGAGATTCTCCCTCTCCCTCTGCCCTTCCACACACACACACACACACACACACACACACACACACACCCCAAAAAAAGAAAACGATCAAAATGCAACGAGGGGGCGCCTGGGTGGCTCAGTTGGTTAAGCGACTGCCTTCGGCTCAGGTCATGATCCTGGAGTCATGGGATCGAGTCCCGCATCGGGCTCCCTGCTCAGCAAGGAGTCTGCTTCTCCCTCTGACCCTCCTTTCTCTCATGCTCTCTGTCTCTCATTCTCTCTCTCTCAAATAAATAAAATCTTAAAAAAAAAAACGCAAAACCGCAACGAGGAACAACCCTTTCTATTGCAAGGCGTCTACAACTGCAGGGCAAAGAACACAGGTTTCTCCCCCCAAATCAAATTTTAGGGACACGCTCTGGAGAGTGCTCCCCCTACCAGTGAGGGGCACACGCGGGCGGAGGCATCTGCGTGGATTTTCTTGGGGTTTTCTGGGGCGCCACGTGGGCGTGTCTGCCGTTCCCACGACAGTCCTGGAGTTTACTATATAGCGTCTCGCCCGGAATCCCGAAGGAGAAACCCCCGGAACCGCTGCCGTCGCGGTGCCCGGCCCCGACCTGGCAACCGGCGGGCACGGCCCGGTTTCCCGCCGCCCCCGCGCTGCCCGCACGCACCTTGGATGGTCCTCTTGAAGAAGGCCTTGCAGGCCTCGCAGGAGGCCACGCCGTAGTGGTAGCCAGAGGCAACGTCGCCACACACGAGGCACAGGCGCTTGGGGATGGCGTTGAGCATGTACTCGCACTTGATGGCCGAGTCCTCCATGAGGCCGCCCGCACAGTCCTCGTAGCTCTTGCGGCACGGGGTGCCCCCCAGCGCGGCGCCCGCGAACATGGGCGGCGAGTCCAGACCGTTGGCGTGGGCGCCCAGGGCCAGGCCGAAGCCACCGCTGGCGTCGGACGAGCCGCTGGGGCTGTGGTGGCTGAGGGCGTCGATGCCCGAGGAGGGGCTGGACGGCTCCGTCTTGATGAAGGAGCCGCAGCTGGAGCCCAGGTGCCGGTCGTCCGCGGACATTCTGTTCAGCAGCCTGCGGACACAGAGCGCGGGCAGGTCAGCTCCGCCGAGGGTGCGGTGGGTGTGACACCCGCCCCGGGAATTAGCTCTGGGCTCCGGGCACCAAGTGGGCGGGGTGGCTGGGAGGGGCTCGATGCTAAGGCGTTGGCGAGATAAAATGCTGGCCCAGAAGGTCAACTGGCCAGGACGCCGCACAGCCCAGAGCAAGTTTCTGGCATCGCCCCCCAGAACCTTCTGAGTCCTCAAAGAAAAAAAAAAGAAAAAACCGTGTTTGATCAATAAACTTCAGATTAGGCACCCCAGCTCTCTGCACATTGCTGGCAGGAGAGTGGCAGAAAGTGGTAACAATTCAGACAGAAGAGGTGGCCGACCTTCCTGCACGACAAGACCACGTGGTGGCTACAGGTAAAGTCTGGGTGTGCCGGGCCCCGGACCGGATAACCCATTTCACCCAGGCCCACTGGGGCTTCTGGTAAGCCCAAGCTTGGAGCTTTCCCCATGGGCCACCATTACCGAGACTGGGCCTCGAGATGACAAGCAAGGCACCCGGCCAGGGCAAGAGGCAGGGCTGGTGGCAAAAGGCTGCCCCCTGGGGTTTGCCTCTGGCCCAGGGCACATTTGGAAGGTGGCTCTAGGCCCCCTCCCTCCTGTCCCTTCTTTGTCCTCAGCAGGCTGGCTTCCCAGTCCCACCTGGCCCCAGACACTGTGTCTCCGCGAGGCAGCATGAGGGGGCCTTCCAACCCCAGCTCTGTGCATCCCCGGCGACTTCTTAACCCTGTATTTCAAGTTCTCGGCGTCCCTGCCTCAACCCCAGAGTCAAGGGAGCACTACCAACATGACCAGATCACTGTGAAGGGTCAAATGTTTCCCAAAATGAAAGTCCTTCCTCCCATGCCAGGTGGGTGAGAAGGCAGGCAAAGTGTGACTCTCCCATAGGGTCCCAGGACAAGGGGAGGAGCCTCTCTCCAAAGGGGCAAGAAAAGCGCACGGCAGGGTGATGAAGGCGGACGTCTAGGGAAACCCAGCCCCGGCCCACTCAAGACCTCTGGGGCCAGCCAGGATCTGGAATCAGGAGGCTGGGTCGGGGTCCACAGGTCCCTGACCTGGCCTGCCTGTGTGGAGGTATGGAGGAGCCCAGGGCTTATGTCCACGGAGCAAGTGAAAGGAAAGAGAGAAAGTTCCTGGAGAACGAAAAGGGCTGACTGGTCAGCGGTACAGCTTAGCGGAAAGATGGCTAGAGCTGGGAGGGAGGGTCTCAGTGCTGGAGGGTCCATTGGTTAACAGCCACGGTCCTACCTCCAATAATGCTCAGAGGGAGCCCCTGTTTCCTGAGCAGTCCGTGGAGGAAGGGACTGGTCACCACCCAGGGAAGAGGCTGCTTTGCCGCCTCCACAAAGCCCACCCCCACCCCACCAAATGCAATCTCATGATGGGGAGGGGCCTTTGCCATCCCTGGTGCCACTAATGATTTCATGGTTAGTCCACCTCCCGAGGGGTTGTCCCATCCACCTACATTTGAACACGTCCAGAGACAGGGAACTCACTGCCCCACAGGCGGTTCTAATCAGAACCTGGGATCTGCAGATGCAAAGATAAAAGATTACATATCAGGCTCCTACTCCCAAGTTTATCTACTGGAATGTAGCGTTTGAAGATAGAGGCTCTCAGGTGTCTTCTGTTCCAAACCAAATGTTCCCAAGTCCTCTGAGACCCCTCTCCTGCAAGCCCCATGTTTCCCTTACATCGGCAGAGGGAGCCCCAGTCGAGGGTCTCCTCTGGGTCCTTTTACAGCTCTGGCTGGTGCCCTGTCATCCTCCTGGGTTCCACATGGCCACCTGCCTCCCCTCCATCCACCAGCAGGTCCCTGGTATGTCCGCAGGCAGTGCCTTCAGCCTGGCGGGGCATAATCCGGACAGAAAATCTGCCTGAGTGGGCACAAGTGCACTTCTGCGTGACCTCCCCACAGCATCCCTACACAGGGCAGGCAGGGAGAGCCGACCAGGGGCCCTTCTACCTGGAATCCCCCGCTGCTCATTGCTTTAGGCTCTGCAGGTCACAGGAACACCCCAGGCCCACTGTGACAAGCCCTGCTGGGGAGACAGCTCTCAGACCCCAGCCCTCCATCCCCACACCTCCACCAACTCGCGATTTCGGGAGAAACACCTGATATAAGCAGTGATTCTGGCAACTACAGTAGTCCCCCCACCCCCTCCTCTGTGGTTGTAGTTACCCGTGGGATCATCAGGTCAGTAGTAGCCTAACACTAGATCACAATGCCTATGTCATTCACCTCACTTGGCCTCCTCACATAGGCCTTTTATCATCTCATGTTCAGAGACTCCAGGGCTGAAGGAAGCAAACTTGATCCTGGCCTCTGAGTTGCATGGAAATCCAGCCACTAATTTATTGCCTGCATCCCAGCTGTGTGTGTGTGGCGGGGGGCTGCTGAGGATTTCATTCCTGCAGCTTTCTCTTTCCCATGACCATTATTTTGCCACCCCACCCCCACCACCGAATGTCTTTTCTAGGGCGAGTCAACACCTATTTCAGGCACCTACTATGTGCCAAGTGCTGGCCAGAGAATGGGACGGGTTATAACAAGCATAGCCCATGATCTCAAGAAGCTCGTTCTCAAACACAAGTGTGCAGAGCACCAGAAAGTGTGTGCAGAACACCAGAAAGGGCCAGGGGGTCTTCTAGGCTCACAGGGGCTCCCCAGCCGTGCCCCACTGGTCTTGCTGCATTCATTCACTGGCTCATTCATTTGCATCTGCAGACTGAATGAAGACCTTCCTCCAGGGGGCACAGCTTCTTTTCCGTGTTTGAGAGTTCCTTCCAGACTCTTCTGCCTGTTTTTTCAAGCTCAGGAGCTGCCTGTCTGCCCCTCTGCTCCGGAGGCTGGGCTAGACTAGTTAGCGGCCATCCATCAGAGGCAGTCACATGTTGGACGCCTTCTTTTGTACCATCTTGTTGCGTGCTCATGACCCGTCTGACATTATTATTCCCACTTTACAGAAGAGAAGAGCTGGAGCTTGAAGCTTGTCCCAGGTCATGAGAGACAGAAGCTGGGATCCAAACCAGTCCCATCTGACTGCAGATCCAAGCCCCTAGTTCTGCAGTGCTCTGCCTCCCTCAATATCAGGCCTCCGGAAGAGCTGCCTCCAGCAGAGGCCTCAAGCTTGCAGCCCTCCAAAGCCCTGGACCTTCCTCACTGTCATTTCTTCACCTGCAGTGTGAGAGTTGAGAACTCCCTGGGGGCACAGAGACCCTCTGGGCTGCCTGGTCCTTGATGCACCAGGCAAGGGACAAAAAGTTGCTAGAGATGCCAGACCCTCCAGGAAAATCCTGTCTCCATCTGTCCTGACCTCTGGCACATCATTCATTCATTCTAAAGCAAAACGTAAAGGAAGGACGGGGAAAGAAGTCCAGGAAGTGGGCAGAGGAGAACTGGCCAGAGGAGCTGAAGAAAATAAAGAGAGCATGTGTCTTGGAAATGCAATGAGGAGGGAGTGGTGGCAGGTGACAGGTGGTTACAAGGTCAGGGGAAGTCAGATGTGGCAAGTGTCCACTGCAGTGAGCAATCAGGTGGCTGGTGACTTCACCAGAGGAGTGACAAGGCATGGTGGGGATGGAGGACACAGTTCTTTGAAGAAGTTCAGCTGCAAAGGGCAGAGAAGGCTGTGAGGGTGGGGTTCCTCCTGGTACACCTTCAGGCAGGACCATCCACTTGAACTTGGGGATTATGGAGGCAGAGAAGGAATGTTTGGTTATTATTGTCGGTAACTGTTGGTTTCTTTGATGAGGACGGCGTGTGTTAAGAATGGAGGGAATCTGGGGCCCTTGGCTGGCTCAGTTGGTAGAGCATGCAACTCTTGATCTTGGGGTTGTAAGTTCAAGCCCCACGCTAGGTGTAGAGGTTACTTAAAAATAAAATTTTAAAAAGGAAGAATGGAAGGAATTTAAGGCATTTAAAAATTATGGAATCCACACTTTGCAGTAGGCCCTGGGTGATCCTGATCCTACCTACTGACTAGGTATAATTACCCATCGCCCCCCCACTTCTCTCCCCAAAGTAGAAAATGAATTATATGGTGACTACGTTCAATGCTAATGGTAAAGACCAAATCAAGGTGGAGAGACTGAAGGTATAAAAGGTAAAAAATGTCAACTTTTCCCAAATTCTAGTCCAACCTTCACCAGAGTTTGCTGAGGTGCTTGTTGAACGGCTGGTGGCCTGGGCCTGACCCCACCTCCGTCATAACCTGAACCTGCATCTCTGCAAGTGGGGCCCAGGAGTCTGCATTTTCTGGCGGCTTTGCTTTAGCAACCCAGGTGTGACTCTTAGGGGCATCATGTTTGTGTAGCATGGGAATGACGCAGCCAGAGGGTTGACGGGAATCTGGAATGCAGGAAGAGAAATGAGCTGAAGCAATAAGAGGGAGGGAGGTGCGTGGGTGGCAGAGGGGAGGGCTGAGACCCCTCACCTCCCCACCCCTTCCACGCAGTCCATGAAGCCAGAGGCACAGGGAGTGAAGGCTGAGGGCAGAAAGTCCAAGCAAAGGAAGGAAGCTTGCAATAGAAGCTGTGGAGGGAGGAGAGAGCAGAAATCGGGGCATACGGGCTTACCAGGCCGCTGCGGAATGTCTTCATTCCGCAGGGCCAGCAACGCAGAGGAGCCCTGTGTCCTCCAGCAGCTTAGATCTGGGTTCCTCAACCTCGGCCCTACTAACATTTGGGGCAGGGTAGTTTTCACTGTGGGGCCATCCTGTGCACTGCAGGATGTTTCGGAGCATCCCTGGCCCCCACCCACTAGAGGCCAGTAGCAGCCCCCTCCCTGCCCCAGAGAGGACAACCCAAACCTCCAGACAGGGCTGGGAAAATCCCCCCCAGATGAGAATCACTGACAGAGATGGAAGAGGGAAGAGGGAGAACAGGGGGGTCCAGGAGCAGAGGGTTGGGCCAATGAACGGTGCCGGTCTCGGACAGAGGGGGTCATAGCA